GGTCCCCGAGCTGCGGGGGGAGGAACCGAACCTGCGGCGGTGGGGAAGCGGGTTTTGGGGAGTACTCCTTTCCTGAGGTGAAATTGCAGCCGCCGAGCTTGAGTTCGCGAGGAGCCGGGAAGACTGTGGGGGTGCGCGGTCCGCATTGGCTTCCGAGGAGGAGGAGGCGGCAGGGGGAGAGCCTTCGAAGGGAACGGTCTTTAAAGTGCCCTCTGGAAGGCCGAAGGCGTGCAAGAGCAAGGGAAAAGTCGAGGGGTCGGTGGAGGATAGTAGTCGGGGCCAGGAGGAAGGAAATCGATGTTTTTTGAAGCGAGGAGGTGAGCTGATGATGGGCAAATTGGTATGAGGAAAAGGTGGTGGGAAGTGTCTGGGGCCTGCCTGGTACACTGAAACGTTCTAGGCCAGTGATGGGGAACCTTTTGGAGCCCAAGTGCCCAAACTGCAACAGAAGATCAACTTATTTGTTTCAAAGTGCCAATACTGCAATTAAAACGGGAATGCTCCTGCACTGCAAGGGTTAAATGCTTGGTTGTTTTTTTTTTTCTCTCCTATGGACGCGGTTAAATGCTTGGTTGTTGTTTTTTTCCTCCTATGGGCGCTATACTTACTAGTCCTCCAGTCCCCCATTGGGCTAGACTGGTAATGGTCGCCATTGCACCCCTCCGCTGGGCCACTGCACCAGCAGAGGGGAGTGCCGAAATCTGGCATCAGAGGACGGATAAGTATTTCTCTGTGGCAACTTATGACTCGTGTGCCCACAGAGAAGGCTTTGTGTGCCAGCTGTGGCACACGTGCCATAGGTTCGCCATCACTGTTCTAGGCACTCGTCTTGCCTTGTGTTCCCTTTTTGGCATTTCCCTTCTCATTACCTTTTGCCAAGCTGCAGTTCACACATCTTTCTCATTAGGCCTGGGAAGGTATACCAGCATTTTCCCATCTGAGGGCCACACTGCCTCTGGACAGTGAACAATGAACTGAGGGCAATGTAGTTTCTCTTTGTGGTAGTTTGGTTTCCTCCCCTCCCCTCTGTATGTGACTGTATTGGGGAGTTGGGCAGGTGGGCTTGGAGGGCATTACAATGTGGTGCAACCTTGAGGAGGAGATGCTCTTCTATGGTGATGTGCTGTCTCAAGAGTTGACAGATAGTCATTTTTTTGCCAATAGAGCTGGAGGAAGCATTGCTTGGGTTTGCTGGTTTCAGGGCAAGTGCTGAGATTTAGTGATGAAATGCTGAAGGTGTGAAAGAAAAGAGGGTAATATTTCCAGTAAGGGGAGATGGAAAGCATTGTTGATTGGTGAAAGGCTTGTACTGTAATCCCTTTGGCACCCCAGAGAAAAAGTAGATTGTGACTATGCATCAGGAAACAGGGCAGATGTTGCAGTGACTGCAAAATGTAGATTAAGTTTTAAACAGCGAGGTGATGGTGAAAGGGAGCAACTAATAGAAAGCACAATAGCTATTTGTTTTTGATCATAGACTCAGGACTACATTTGAAGTTATTTTCAGGTTTCATTTAGTAAGAAAAGAATGAAATAAACTTCTAGCCAGAAAGTGCAACCAGTGTTTTGCCACATGTACCTCTGAATTTGAGTATAAATTTTTGCACCATAGAATAGAAAGATGTTCTCAATTAACAATAGACTTTTCTGGACTGCAGGTACTAAAAGAGTACAGTAGTCAATAATAAACAAAATAACACCAGCCACATGATAGACAACTATAATAGTAAAACTATTAGCAGTAAATAACTTTTTATTAATACAAGCCATTGTGTTTGCTAATAAACATTTCTTAATAAAAATCTTGAAATTTAAAATGTTTTTTAAAGTAATTGGCAAGCAAAAAGTCTTGCTGCCCCAAATACCATAGTATAGGTCCAAGGTAGTCCTTTGGAAGTGGGGCTGGGAGTGCAGAATCTCATAATCTCAGCAACAACATCAAAAAGGCTTGCTCACTAGATATGGATTGCATCTTGCTGGGCAGGGGCAACTCTGAAGGTGATAGGACATCTATAGGTAATCTTATGATTCATTGTGAATTTAAAAACAACCCCCATTTTGCAGCCAGTTAACAGCAAAACTTAGATGAATTTACAACCATGTGGGGACTTAACTACTTAATATATTACAGTATTACATAAATTAAATAATTTTTAATATTGCTTTTAAATGTTGCTGCTCTTCATTGATTTATAATGCCTCTTTTCATTTTCCTTCAAGCTCTTCAGAAGCACAACCTTAGAATGAGGCCTTTCAACTATCTTTTCTAAGTTCTGATGACACCTCCTGCCTTTTGTTCTAATTGTACTGCTGGGTTGATTTTATTTGTTTTTACACTTCTCCGTAACCTGCTTTTGTGAATAATTGTTTTGAATAATCATGTGCAATACAAATGTAAAGTAAAACTATAGCCAGTATTAAGGTTGTTGAGCATCTTGCATATAAAGAAGTACCTCATTCTGGGATCTGCAATCCATAGTTCTTATGGTATATCCAGTGGTTGCAGCATCTAAGTCTTACAGTCATTCTGTGTTTTTGAAAATTTATCCTGGGAATTAAAAAAAAATTGCTGCTGAGTCTTATTAAATAATGTATAAAATGGTATGTACATATTTCAATTTTTCTAGGCATGCATTATGCATTTTCAAAATGTGTATTGATGTTTGCTTAGTGTATCTTAGTAATTCTTAAAACTGTAATAAAAATACGTTCATTTAAAACCAGCTATTCTGAGCCAAATCCAGCCCTATCCAGAATACCATGCTGGTTCTTAGTATTCTGAATACAAGTACAGGGTAGTAACTTCTAGAGAGTAATTGTTTTAGTCTAATGTAGCAAAATAACAAGGGGCATGTTCTATAAGTGCTTGTGGACTGCAACACATTGCAAAAGTAATCTGCAGCCTGTTTGTTTAATGAGTAAGACAGGCGGCAGTGGACGTGTTAATTTCTAGATCTTGAATAAATGCTGGAGAATAGGCAAGATCATTCCAGACATTTTTCTGCTAGAGATAGTTGAAAATTTGAGTGGAGCATCATTCTATTGAAAATAAGGGGTATTATATCTGTGCATTTGTTGCTCTGTAGATTTGCTTGGAATTTTAGCCCATTGACTTTACAGTACAGCATTTCTAAAAGCATTTACTTGGAGTAAGCCAAAAGGAAGTTGCCATGATGTAATGTAACTTCGAGTGCCTTTAACAAGTATAATATATTTCCTGCAAGTGAAGTCCAGAGAGGAAGCTGTGCTAGTCTGTGAATCTTTGGGCTGGGTTCTTCCCATTTAGGCATTTCCTTTGCTCAAATCAAGTGATGGAACAATTTATTTTAGGGTTGATACCACTATATTTCTGAGGGGAATCTGGATCCCTGCAGATGCAAATAGTATATGCAGTGTGATGCTGCTCCAGATTTTGTTGAACTCTAGAGTTCAGTTTCCACAAGGATTGTAAGTGAGATGTATCTATTATAAGCTTATTAATGTAATTGTAATATATAAACATGAGGAATCTGTATTTATGAATGAAAATTATTACAGACTATTCAGCGCTGCCTATTTGTTGCATAGACGTAA